AGCTGTTCGTTGTTTCTCCTAGTGCGATCCGTCGTGCTTCGGAAGATTCGCAGTTGACCTGCATTCGAGAGTACGTGTCCCCCACCTTGTAGATCTTTCACTTCGATAAATAATTATACATTCCTAAACTTAATTGTCGAAAGCGTCTCATGATACTTGGAGCACGTGCTAATATTTCGCTGGTCACTCAGCACAAAAACATAAGAACGCTGGATTTGAAAAAGTGAAATTTAAGTTTCCAAAGGATTGCTTTAGGATTTTTAAAGTAGGCCACGGATTTAAATCTGACATTAATACGTGTGGAAATGTGTCAAATTGGATCTGTAGCAAAGTTTTCGTTGAAGTTGATAATTTCTGTGCTCCAGTTTGGAGGATCTTTGCCGGAAATTAAACTTTTGTTTCCATCCAGAAACTTTTTCTGCCTGATTCTGAGTAATTGTGGGATTATCGTTGGATTTAATGATGTATTAATGAGAAAAATACAATGATATGACACAGTAGAAAGCTGGAAAACTAATCGAGAGCTGAAGAGTCAGTCGATGTTTTTGTACTGAATATTGTAATGGCTGTGCGCATGCGCGGATGAGTACTTACGTTTGAAGATCGAAACATCCGGATAGGGAAAAAGTTTTGATAGCAATATTTTTATTTATATATGCACAAACTTGCAACTTCTTAGCGTTATGAATCATTTCTTAATGCAGCCAAGAAATGCATCTGCAGTCAGGGACACCAAAACCTGTTTCACCGAGGAACTTACGGTGAAGTCTCCGGTATTCAACCAAGTTCGATATAAGAAATAACGTTCTGTGCAGAAGCTGATTGTCGCTCGGCTGGTCCAGAGATCACTCGCCTTTTATGAATACTGATAATTGTGTCAAATTTTTTTATAACTCAAATTATATATATATATATATATATATGTTTGATGAATGTTTGTGTAATAGACGATTATTAATAACACCGATAAATTTCGATTTATCTGAAGTTGAATTTATATTTGACCGATATAAATAAAAATTAAATTCTTCCAGCAAATGTAATGTCGATTTCCATTACCAAATTTAATCGAAATCCGATCGGTAGTTTCGGAGCTGAAACACGCGGTCGGACTCGACCTCCACATTAAGCATTCATTTTATATATTTTGTGAATAAAACCGGCAGAAAATTCGTATCAACTGAACAAACTGCTTCCAACGCTGCATTAAATATTGCAATATCGACTTTCTTAAATTTAACGAATAAAAATATTTTGATGGCAAATTCTTTAAAAATCGCCATAAGTCTATTATTAAGGTAGTTGTTTTTATTATTATTTTATTAATTTAATATATTCAGTTAATTTTGGTTTTTGATTTATAAGAATGCGTACAATGAGTAAGAACATGAAAATTTTTCTAAAAATATTAGCAAGGGAAATAATTCTACTATACCATGGATAAATTTTGGTTATACTATGCTTAAGGTGGTAAATTCTATAAGAAGATTTGAAAAATAAATTTAAAATGTTTTGTTATAAAATTTCATGGAAATGTTAGTCTTCTATATGATAATAATATTAAAATGTATCTGAAAGAATGTTGCCTGGATGTGAACTGAACTTACGTTTTAATCCACTGACGGAATTTTTTTCACGATAATTATTAGAATTCAGTTGCATTAAATAATTCTCTCAGCCTCCCAAGGAATTTGTCTGACTGTATAGAATGTAATCGGGTCCCTGTCTTCTGATTCCACGCTCCGAATGACCCCTCACGATTATGTTATCCCGCGTTAAACGATGGACACGCGATTCTCTCATCACTAATGGGTTAACACTACTCAGACATAATATCATAATCACTTTGTGTTTTCTGTACAGCACAACACCTCATTTATTTGCATTATATCATCTGTGCTGGAGAAAGATATATAATGTATTGGCGTTTCTCCAAGGATTAATATTTCAAAGCGTAGTGGTAACTATATGTACCACCTTTAAAAATCAGAAACTGTACATTTTTTACTTATGAAACATTTTGATTCTCACTGTTAACAGCTTCAAGAAATTTAAAATGAACATGTCTGTCTTCTGGGTTTAAGCGCCGTGTAGTCTGGTAGAAGTTTATCGACGTTTCAGAGGTCCTTGCTGCCTCCGTCATCGCCCTGAAACGTCGGTAAACTTCTACTAGACTACACGGGGCTTAAACCCAGACGACAGAAATCTTCGTACTCACTGTCGCGAGAACTTAAAATCCTACGAAGAAATTTTGCTTGTGTTATTGGTGAAGTGTTGTGTTTTCTTTGCGGTACGGACTGAATTCTTAAATATAATTTAGACTGGCTTCGGCTTCAAAGGGATAGCAGTAGGTCGATCCTCAAACTAAGAAGAACTCCTACCGGGTGTTTAAAAATTTACAGCCTGAAAAGTTGATCTTTAATTTGAAGAGTCTAATGAAGATATCTTTATTTTTGCTTTAATTATTCGACAAACTGTCGTTCAACTGCCGTAATTTTGAATCATTTGCGTTGTTATTTAACTAATTTGCCATATAACTGTGGACCACCACGACCAATCCATCGGTTAGGGAACGGTTCATTCAGCTACTCTGTCGCGTGTCGACTGAGATGTGGGGTGCCCCGTCACGCTGGAAGGACATCTGTAATCGTGTTCTGTGTCGTTAAAGTCATTTTCGATGCCTATTCGTTGCTCCATAACCGTTAAGACTAGGACACAAAGTTCACGTCAAATTTCTGGGAAAACTGAAGGACTGGCAAACTTATTGGACAGCCTGTACAAGATGGGCTTTCGAATTGAAGCAGTTTCAACATTTTGGCACTGACTTATGTAATCCTGATGATGGAGGCAGTCAGCTACTCCGAAACATCGGCCAATATTGGCCTAACTACGCATCGCCTTGAGAACCTCAAATCTTAGATTTTTTTTTGGATATCCCATTTTTGTTGATGTTTTATGGAAGTACGGAATACGTCATCATCTGTGTTAGTTGCGGTGGACGGCTATTACGAAAATGGATGTAATTTATCAACAAGAATGTTTATAAAATACTTTAAAATAATTTTCGGCTAAATATTTCTTTAAAGGGAGAATCAAGTAGATCTCGCTTTCAGTTATTGATGTTTGCCGACTGAAGCTAAAAAAATACCCGGCTAGAATATCTAGAATTTTAACAATTCGTCTTTTTTATCCTCATTCTTCTTGAACTGGTATTAATTAGGCTTATTAAGCCTGTATTTTCAACTCTCTCTCCCAAGAAATGGTATTTTAATCGTTTCTTTTACCCACTGGTTGGTATTTTTTTAGTCGTAATGTTGGCATTCTCTGATCTTCCATCCTTTCGACGTTCTCCTTCCAGTTCTTGTGGTATATTTTAATTTCTTCCGCCGTGGCATCCCAACAATTACTCCATTCACACGGCCTTGCCCAACACAAGTTATAAATTCGGGCACCGCCGGGAATCGAACCCGGGACACCAGGATTACAAGGCCAGCGTTCTAACCGCTAGACCACCTCATCTTATTATTATTTAGTGTTCTGTCTGACGACAGGTCCATATGAACAGGATCCTTCCATCCTTTTCTCGGACTGAGACCTGTTCATATACGTTCTTGGCAGAAGATCCAGAAGTGGTTTGCCATTGCCTGCTTCTGTGTGTGAATAGAGTAATTGTTGGGATGCCACGGAGAAACCGGGGAAGCCCCCGGAGGAAAACTCCGTGTTCCCTAGACTACGGCCTTGCCCAACACTAGTTATAAATTCGGGCACCGCCGGGAATCAAGCCCGAGACCCCAGGATTACAAGGCCAAAAATTAATCAATGTACGCAAATATCAAATTGGGCTTTATATAATACACATTACGTCTCTGCAAACAAGTATCAGCACAGGTGATTCGTAATGGATAAAAATTTAAATTTACTTTATCGTACTGAATGACGTAGTCTTTTGACGGTGGCGGTAGTCACGTGTCTATATATATATATATATGCGCATGCTCAGACAAGTGTGTTGCATGCACAATACAAAGTGACCTTTTAACTGCTTTTATCGACTTTACTAATTTCTTACGGAATTATAATGGTATTTTGTCCGTGTGCCTGTCGATCGTGATAAAATTTAACCTCGAAACATGTCACTGGAGATCCCCCCCCACACCTCTGTTGTACTATTCAGTGATACTGGTTCCAGCGTATTAGCATGCGTCACTTATATGCTGTGTCGTCAAAGATTTCTCAAAAATATGCAACTTATTTGCATTATAAATAAAAACAATATGGCGACTGAAAAAATTTAATATTTTGCTTTCGTGTCAATATCGTAGGCTTTGAAATTTGGAGAGACGCAAGTTAGTAATACGCAAAATTTTATTTAAAAGTAACCGTTAAAATACAATTCGTCACAGCCCCCCCCCCCAATCACGCGGTTAAATAAAAAATAAGGCGTTGCTGCCTTCGCTACGTTGCGAGTTCTGAGGTGTCTTCAGTCTCTTGGGTTCCGCTGTACGTGTTCCAATATTGTGCTGACGGCTGCTACAGGGTGTTGCGATTTTTTTAGTTACGTGATCGCTCGTCATTCTACAGAGTCTACATTCATATTTTTAGTAAGTGTCTTCACCGTGATGGTGATTCCTGATGAGCTGCTGGTGCTAAGAGCGTTGAAACTTATCGATGTCAGGTTACGAACACATTTACTAATCCAACATGAATATGACAAAATTCTTAACGAGGTTTTTTATTTAAAAAAAAAACTTACTACTACAATTCACGGCCTGTAGACTATTATTTGTCTCGGTTAATGAAAATGTCATTTATTTTTGAAGATGATTTTTATTCTGTGATTTTTCTGCGTATCGTTCTTGAGTCACCACTCGTCGCCCTGATGATGGAGGTAGTAATCACTTCCGAAACGTTGGTAAACGTCTGCCAGACTACACGGCACAGTCATCTTCGTATTCGCCACCGCGAGAACCTGAAATCTCACCCTTCATTTCTTGTTGCAGGATATCGATACTTCTCCGAGTCTCGCATCTGATATCGACTGTAACAGTCGATTGGTCGATAAATGAATCCCATGGGTGCAGTAATTGAACTTCGTGTCGAGCAGAGTAGCTACCACGAGTAGATGGATGTGTCGCCTTCTTCTGAGTCAGTGACTTAGACGTCGTGCGTGTAGGCCTGTTGTCATGTTACCATGGGCAACGAATCGCAGAGTTTGTTAAATCTGAAGTTTAGAGGTCGGAAGCGATGGAGGAGGTTGTTGACGGTGGTGGTGTTTGTGCTGTTTGTGGCGTGTCTGTTGAGGAGCCAGATCATCTCTGGAGACATATATTACGTCATGGAGACGGTGCAGAACGATTATGACACCCTGGACGAAGTCATGCAGACGGTAGCTCCGAACTGGCGAGGTTTGAGACAGAAAGACGTAAGTTTTGAGATGATTGATACCCCTAATTGGTCTTTACTTTAAATAATTTAATAAATTTTTACTTTGAGGCAAATTTACCGATTGTAACGAAGCTTAAATTCTTTTTGATTTCTTGTTTCGTTTTTGCCTTCATCCTCTCGTCTACCATTCACTGAAGTTTCTTTAGCTCAGGAGGTGAGTCATCTGACTTACGTTTGTGAGATACACATTTTGAGTCTCGGGTGGTGCACTGATATTAGTGATTTTTTCCCCCATTTCATCCAGACAATTGTCTGTGTTGCTTACAGATGCTGCCTCCCGGGTTTCAGACACTTCTTCGATGACAGATAATCGCAGAAAATAAAGTAAAATATTGTTAATTGATATCAAATCTAAAACTTCTTGACGATGGTGAAGAGTCAATTGAATAAAAATTTTCTTGGATGTCCGGAGATAGGGATTAGCTCTATCTAGTGGGCCCAACTGAGTAGGAACCTGAAGACGGAGATAGAGTCCCATCTCCGAAACGTCGTTTTACGTTTTATATTTACTAGACGATGGATAATATCCAAGAAAATTTTTATTTAATTGTTAATTGAGATTTGCTTTTCTCAGACCCAGAATATGTCTGCCTTGGGGCGACGTCTATTCCTGGGAGACGTCTCAGGTTCGCCCCAGTATGACAGGAACTTCACCATCCTGGTATGGAAGCACGGACCAAACATCGAGAAGCGTCTGATTATGCGATTCGGAAATCGACGGTGAGAACTGACTTAAGCCCATCTATATCAAGATTTGCAAACGGGGCTTCGAATAACTAACACATTTTTGTCTTCAGAGAAGCGATACTTCGGGTCTGATGGTTATTCGAACATTCTGACGTATAAATTCTCGGCTGAAGCCTGTGATAAACTTCTATCAAATAAACACATGTCCCGAAACTGGAAGTTATGTATTAATTATTTTTTATTTATTTATTTAGTGTTCTGTCTGAGGTAGGTCCATATGAACAGGATCCTTCCATCCTTTTCTCGGACTGGGACCTGTTCATATACGTTCTTGGCAGATGATCCAGAAGTAGTTTGCCATTGCCTTCTTCTGTGTGTGAATGGAGTAATTGTTGGGATGCCACGGAGGAAAACTCCGTGTTGCCTAGACCACGGCCTTGCCCAACACAAGTTATAAATTCGGGCACCGCCGGGAATCGAACCCGAGACCCCAGAATTACAATTAATTACGCCCGATTTAATCGCAAATTGCAGTGTCGGAATTTGGATGTTACCTGACTATTCCCCGCCCTGTAACTTAAGACACGAAGTCTGGAAATGTCAATTAATCGAGAGTCCTTAGACGTGCGTGATTGATTGTGAAATTCCCACGTCTATAGGAGAGAATCTTTTCCGTCTGTAGGTGGGACCCGTTCAGGGAATGCTCGGTGTCCAACTGTCGTCTGACGTACGACAGCTCCGAACTGAACACGGCCGACGCTGTCCTATTTCATCTTCACCGGACCCCGGATCGGAAATCTCTTCCGGACCCAAAGGGACCTCGGCCCGCTAACCAGCGCTGGGTCTTTCTCACTGACGAGAATCCCTTCCACACCTTCACCCTGGGGAGCGCCTCTACCAGAATGAAGGACTACAACGGACTCTTCAACTGGTCCATGACTTACAGGTTTGTGCTCTTGGAACATTGTGTCTACCCTGACGGTGATAGAATTTCGTCATATGGGATGAACGTCTGTGGTATGTTATTCACGCCGAATGGCATAAACGCAGACCGGTGTTTTAAAAACGGACTCTAGGATGAAGACTCTACTTTCTCGAATCGGGTAGAAAGTACTTTCTTTCAAGCCTCGATCAGTATCGGACACCATCTTATGAAAAATGCTGGTCTTCCAAACCTGTTTCTGATAGTTAAACTAGACGCGTTCAAACGAAGTCTTTGTGGTACACCCCTGTCCTTACTCCCTCCCTAATATATTTCTATAATTAGCAGTTTTTTTATTTTGTTCTCCCCACGTCAGTCTATACAACTTTTAAGGGATTTTGCATCAAAAATTTTGTACATATTTCTTGTTATCATATACTCAATTACATCGCACATGATTTAATTTCTTTAACCCTTTGAAGCCGAAGATCGTCTGAATATTATTTATGAATTCAGTCCGTACCGCGAAGAAAACACTACACCTCACCATTACGAAAATCAGCTGGTTAACCCTTTGAAGCCGAAGCTCGTCTTCATAATATTTACGAATCCAGACCGTACCGCGAAGAAAACACTTCACCTAACCATTAGAAGTCGAATCAGGCGGTACCACATAAGATTTAACATCCCGGTCAAAGCCTTAATAACGCTGGCAAGGATTTAAAAATTAAATAATTTCGTCTGTGCTGCACCACTAATATCATATTTCGCGATTCATTTGTCTTAAGAGTTCCTGGCACTTATTTTTTTTAAAATCCCACTTTCCAAACCACGAGTATAAAAACTAAGACGCCATGAAACAGTGCCACCACCTATAAAATTGACAGCAACTGTCACTTCCGGATGCCAGCCGGAACTGCACTACTCATCGCGAAGAGCTACACGGTTTTCCCGATACGAGTCTAGTATCGCTTCATAAAAAAACAATTAAATTAACGTAATGTACATTACAGCTGTTCCTTATTGGTGCAGTGACACGTAAAATGTCTCTCGTAACCCAAACGAAAATGGATCTGGATCCATCGTCTGAAGAAATCGCGACGTTTTCGGATATGCTGATGGAATTGTGAATGCTACTCTTAGGATGGACTCTGATGTTCCCGTGCCGAGTGGTCGGACTTTGCCGCTGACCAGCGCGGAAAATAAGAGAAGACGGAAGGCGAAGGCGAAGGCGAAGGCGAAGACGAAGCTGGCTGCCATCATGGTCTCCAACTGTGGCGGGAGGAACAAGAGATGGGAATACGTGAAGGAACTGAGGAAACACATGCCGGTGGATGTTTACGGTGCATGCGGGAATCTCAGGTACGTGAGATCTTGGTCTGATCTGGCTGAGAATAGGGTACAACTGCTACTAACTTTTGTTAACACGGTAATGAACTTTCTTGAAGCAGAACAAGGTCTCGGTATTTCTTAACTAAGTTGTCATCGGCTTCGTAAGGAGGATTATACGACTTGGATGTACTTTCTTATTGGATCGTCAACGCAAACAAGTTACGGGGACTTAATCAGGAGAAAAAAACAACCTACTAAGTAACAAGTGTTTATGTAATTACGTCATTACGTGTTCTTTGTAGGCTTCACGGAGTGATAACTTTCTGAAGAGTTTCCGCTCGTTTCTGAAATGTTCCTTTCTCATACTGTCTCTAGATTAAAAACTCTGCAGAGACATTGACCTTGATGAAAATTACGTCTGTCCAGAAAGACTCCACACAATAATTGCCAACGAATCGATTTAAAATTATACGTCGGCGTAGAAGTCCACGCGACGTGTTAGTCGAGTGTTCTGAAACACTGAAGCAGTGCGGTACAACGCCGCGAAAGACGGCAGCGATACGTACTTACATAAACAAGAGGTCGAAGGTTCAACGCACAGCACCAGCACAATGGAAATCAAATAAAAAATTTGTTTTACCCAGAGGATAGCCTTGAGCATGTACACGCCTTTTCGTGAGAATACAGCTACAAATTTAAAGAGTCGAAAATTTTTAGACTATGTAAATTGTTTCTCGTGAGATAAAAATATTCATGGTTGAACAACGCACATGATTCTTAGTCAGTTGATTTATTCGTTTGAATTTTTGAATATTAAATACGCATCCGCGTAGATTTTTTTTTCCAAAAATGGCGAATGACCTTGAGCATAAATAAGTTTTTTTCTGACTTATTTCATTCAGTGTTAGAATTCTAATAAGTTTTACGTAGCAATAAAATCACAGTAAAGGAAACAATATATAAAACGTTAGAAATGAACTCCATTTTCAGCCAGAGAGAGTTGGAATGGGGAATGTTGAAGGCATTAGTGTTAGTTGCCGAGAATAAATGTCTTTGGATTAGTTTGTACATTGTTGTACACCCATTGAAGAAGCCTTGGATACTTTTATTTCAACGATAATTAAGCAAAAGTCATGCTTTGAAAGATACCGTACTTCCATTGTTTCAGAATTGCTTTGTGGTGGGAAATTGTACTCGACATTTGCATCGAATTTGCATAATGAAATATCGCACTGTGTGTTTGGTTACAGAATACTCCTTGTGCCGTGATATTATATTTTACAGTGAGATCAATAATAGCTGTTGGTTAATAATTATTCTAACACATTGCATCCGGTTCTGTCGATCGATTTATTTCTTCAGTAAGACGTCTGAACATTTTGTGTACCATTTGTGACAATGACTGTTTTAATGTCTCGATTATGAACTACGACCAGGCTATTCTAAGAAAATGGTGCATTATTGTCTTTACGTCACATAAGCGATGGTCTGATCCTTCCCAGTGTTAAAGTTTGTTTTATATACTCGAATATATAAGCCTGTAAGTCCACTATTAAGATTTGCGTTAAACAATCTCTAATGTCGCAGTGAATCTTGTGAAACTAACCTCAAAAATCCTCTCCGTCACCATTTTGAAATTTTTCGATTCACAGAGAATTTCATTCAAGATCGATTGTTATCGACTTCGTAATGTTTATACCAACTCGTACAACAGGGAATTTTACATTTAACTTTAATTCCCAGAAGATTGAAAAATGTAGGTAGATAAAATAAAATAAAAACGAGATGCAATTGTTAAAACAAATTAAAATGAAGGTTCAAATTTGTTGTATGTAGTCACTTGAAAGATTTTAATTTATGACAAAAATTACGTTATTGCACTGTCTCAATATTAATGGCGACAGCTGAAATCGAACCAGTGACCTTTTGAATGTTAGTCTAGCATGATAGCTTATTATTCTAAAGGAACCTGGTTTGATTCCAACCATCGGAAATGGTATAAAAATTACAAATGTAATACGCAACATGTCAGTGTAATGACAAATTACTTGACAAGACAAGAACAGAGCCAACTCTCGAAACGTCGTGTTATTCTGTATAAAATGTACCCCAGACAATGGACAGTGACCAGAATAATATTTGAACAATGAATCACGCATTGTTACAAATGTTTCAGGCTTATTAATACCACGTAAGTTAGAACTGTACAATTTTATTTCCAGGAATGATAATTTACGTTTCACGATTTGCTTCGCAGGTCCGGGGTGTTGATTTTGTGGTCAGAATCGTAACAAAACATTGCTTTAAGTCGTTTATGCCCTCAACCATCTCACGTGTACTCCAGGACTTCTCTTGTAAAGTTGTTGTGTTGGTGAACGGCGAAAAGAAGTTTTGAAACGAGCTTGAAAATAGCAATGAGAGTAATTATATGGTATTCGCTACAGCTGGAACTATTTGGTGTTGCGGCAGAGATTAAATAGTGAGGTTAGGTTGTCACGACTCGTGAGTTACTCCTAAGGCCGGAAACAAATTCTTCTGGCGTGAGAAATGCCTTGCGAAGAATAACGATGGGATTTTGTTTTTGTGGTGGGGGAAACGAGAAGTGTCTCTGTGCGCAAGTCGTAACACGTGTAAGCACCAATCAGCAAGTCTGAATTTCTATTTATGTGTTTCGTGTGATTCTCACTGTAAAAAATGATTATTTGATTTTTGTTATCGGTGAAGTGTTACCTTTACGGTATCCCCGGGGGTACGCGAAGACATCTTAGGGGGTACGTGAAATTTAAAAAAAATACACTGAATAATCAGTAATGTAATTTATTTAATTTATTTTAGATGTAGATTATATACTATGTATAACTTGAATTATACACCAACAACTTTGGGGGTACAAAGTTGAAGAGAAATTATATCTGGGGGTACACGAACAAAAAAAGGTTGAATATCACTGGGATAGAGTGATTTCATTACTACATCAGCCAAAAGGTTCCCAGAATTTCTGGGTTCGACTTCCCAGATGTCCATCCAACCGAGGTTCCTTTTCGTAAAAGACAAATCGTCTGATAAGATCATCTTCCATCAACACCAATAGCCCCTAATTTGAACACTTGAAGTGTTCAAACTTCCGCACGATAATATGTAAGCACATCCCCCCAATTATACTTTTTAATCAAGAATTCGTTGGCTAGTGGAGAAATATTAAATTATTTAAGCGATTACGTAGACTAGGCTGTCCCTTTTTAGCGCTTGGCATTATTTTAATGATTTAATTTTTAATTCTAAATACTTTTTTTTGTCATTTGTTGAGTTTCCCCAGAAAATAATTCCGTGAGTTTCGTACGCAAAAGTGGTCTAACCTTGCGAAGGTGAAAATCTCAAAGCATCTTTCGGGAGTCGAATCGCTTTTGTTTATTCGTTCGTAATATGTCCGCTGACTGATTTGGCGCTGTTCACCGTTCGAGGAGGTCGTGGGGGGAATTTTAACCCAGCTCAACCATAATTATAATTATTACTAACATAATAACCACTAATACAGAAGTCTATTCAGGCAAAGTTAGTTGTGATCAACGGTTCTGTTACAACAATGTGTGAGCGGCTGTGGGAAATTCCTTTGAGCTTCCTGGGAAAGTTCGCCAACCGTAACATCTGACGATCTAACAACAGTTGAATTCTCGTCTGGACTGCTCTTTGTTAAGGAAGTTATGAACCTTGTGGTTCCATAAAAGTCGGTGGATTACTTTGACGTGACTATTAGACTCTGCTCCACGGAATCTGTATTTGATGTGAAGTCTTAGAATAATAAGTTAAGGATAAGATTTTATTTTATTTGTGGGTTTGTGTGGTTAAGCTGATAAACTTTCTCGGTTCATATTAATATGGAGTATATTTTATGGCCATGCACATATTTCCTGCTCAGTTTCATTTGTGTGTCTCTACCAATGGGTAGATAATATTTTTTTTAACGTAAATACGTCTATACGGAAAAAAAGTGAAAGGAAAACGTGGAACGAAAAAGGGAAACGAAAAAGTGGAACGAAAAAGGGAAACGAAAAAATGGAACGAAAAAGGGAAACGAAAAAATGGAACGAAAAAGGGAAACGAAAAAGTGGAACGAAAAAGGGAAACGAAAAATGGAAACGAAAAAGGGAAACGAAAAAGTGGAACGAAAAAGGGAAACGAAAAATGGAAACGAAAAAGGGAAACGAAAAAGTGGAACGAAAAAGGGAAACGAGAAAGGGAAACGAAAAAGTGTAACCTGGTTACCTAGGAAACGTCATCTGTTTACTCGGAATTGTTGTTACCTATAAAACATTTCATTACATTACCTTACATTACATTCAGCTACCACAGACCCATCTTAAGCGTAACTAATTGAAGTTAAATAAGCAATGTCTTAATCAAACTTTACTCAATTGTAAAGCATGTATAAAGGAAATATTTAGAATAAAGCCAATATATAAACTTCCTTTCCGTATAGACGTATTTACGTCAGATTATCCGGAACCGTGTTTCCACTGTAAAATATTTTAATTTGTCATTTTAACAATACTTTGACAGGCACAAATGACAATTGCATTAGTCTAATTTAAACCCATTAAATCCGGTTCCGTACTCATGTGACTACTTTGTGCCATTTCAGATGCGAAGGTCACTTCGCAAAGGATTGCCCTGGCCTGAACGACTACAAGTTCTACCTCGCTTTCGAGAACGGAAATTGCCGTGAATATATCACGGAGAAAGCTTGGTGGAACGCGTACCACAAGGGAGCGGTCCCTGTCATTATGGGGGCTCCCCCGCAAGATTGTGCCCGACTACTGCCCCCTAAATCTTACATCCACGTTTCAGATTTCGCCTCTCCCGCCAGCCTTGCCCGATATCTGTTGTACCTCAACGCGTCTTCGGAATACAGAAACTTTTTTAACTGGAAGAACAACTTTGAGGTTGTGAACGAACATGGCTACTTCCAGTCTCCGGTTTACCACTACTGTAGACTCTGCGAGGCTCTGAATTACAACGACCCAGCACCGAAAGTCTACAGCAAACTGGAAGACTACTGGAACAGTGACCGAGACTGTAACGGGCCGGTTATTTAAGCGTCTCGACATTTAGGGGCACAGATCAGTAACGAAGCTACGTAAATATTAAAATTCTGTGCTGTCAGCGTCGTATTTCAGAGACGCGTGTATTTTAAGCGAGATATCGAAGTAATGAGATGGATATATAGAGGTTATTGAATACTTAAATTTCCAGGCAACAGGGGCACAGAATCTTTCCTCTAGCCTCTGCGTCCAGACCGGCTCTGGGGCCCACCCAACCTTCTATCCAATGGGTACCGGGGTCCTTTCCCGGGGACAAAGCGCCGCCGAGGCCTGACGCTGACCACTAACCCCATCTATTGCCGATGTTAAGAATGAGTAGGAGCTATACCGCCTCTCCCCCTAAGTTACTACATGGTGTATAGTGTGATAGCTTTATTTTGTACGTAATGTCCAACGAGTAATGTTATTTTGATTTAAATAAAATCTTCGATTTTGAAAAATAAATTGTTATTGAAGTTTTCACGTGAGATAGTACACCGGCAAGGATACACGACGGACATGAGGGAATTTTCTCTCTTTTAAGTTCTGATGACGTAATGAAAGATGCCTCGATTGACTAAGTACGTCATCGAACCTGTGGAGATGCATTCCACAGATCACAAGATTCTTTTTTGTGTTTCTGACAGCAGAGTGATTGGAGATTTCGGTGTCTAAAACTTATTACACAAGGGAAAGTAATCTTTTGAAATGGGGAAATTTTTGTTTGGTGGATTTTAGATTTTTACAGTTGGCATCGCTTGTCAGATTCTGTCAAGGTAAGTGTTCGGTTTATTTTTGGTTTTATCTTACCTTTTTTCTATTTAAATTGTATATAAACATAGGAAGCAACAAAGTCACGTTATTTATTACGAGGCAATAAATTTCTCTCGTACGTATTTTGAATTGTTGTCTGTGTGTCTATCCTGGTAGGTACTGAGAGTCGGAATAGTTTGTCTGAGTCGTATTTTGAATTGTTGTCTGTGTGTCTGTCCTGGTAGGCATTGGGAGTCGGAATAGTTTGTCTGATCGCGAATGTAAACCAGAATTTCTGTACAGCTTACGTTTCCATTGTTATAAATTATAATACTAGCGTACATATGCCATTTTAGAATTAAAAGTCATTATTGACGTAACAGTGGTATTATAATTGCAGCAAATTATTTCATTATTGTTTGTTTTGCTGTAAAGTTGATTGGATTTCTTAATATCTGATTCTGTAATCTGTGCAGTCTCTCACTCCGAGTAAGAGACTGTGACAAACTATGGGATATTTCTGACACCGGAAGTGATATTTACGATGTTTCATATAAAGATGTTATCGGAGATTCCAGCGCTCCAACAGGAGTATGTCAACTGTTTCAGATATACATAAGTCCATAAATTTTCCAGACGAAAAATAATGTCAATTTCGTAAATTTATTTTTGCCCAAGTTATTAATTGTATTAGGTCTACTTTCTTCGATACAAAACCCTTCAGACATAAAAATGTGAGTACGAGGAAGTTATTGATAGCGCAGACTTTATATAAAGCTTCATACAAATCTATTTGCTGTCCCAAAGTACTTAAGAGACTGCAAACAAACATGTTTTTACTCCACTTTGTCGGTCTTTACGCAAATGTCCGAGAGAGACATTAATTTCTTCATTAATCTGTCCTTCAACATCGGCCTGTCTTCTGGGTCTTTAAACTCCTTTAATTAAATCTGATCTTGAATCGTAATAACCTGTCGACACATTAGAATCGTCGCGTTAACTGTGTCAACACTGAGTGGGAAAATGTTTCAGACGTTTTACAAGTTATCCTATTAAAATTTTGAACAGTGATTTTTCGTATCGTTGCCAGACGCTCAGTCAGTTCTAACCTTCCTCGATTATATTCAGTCGAAAGTACAAATTTAAATCTTAGAGAGAGATAAGAATATCAAAAGAGTAGAATTTGCAAAGAGAAAATTTGTGGGGGAGAAGTGAGAGACAATTCGATTTTAAAGGGGGAGAAAGCGCATCTTATAGTTATAAGGTTCCCAGGCAATGCCCGCTCGTCCTTCTGGCAAGGATAAGGTAAGGGTGAAGACGTTAGGGCGATAATTAATGACAGTTTTGCTAGAATAAACGACGGAAATTTTGAATTTGCTTATTAAAAAAATGCTGAAGCTGTAATTTGAAAAGTTAAGTAAATAATTTAGCGGCCCGTACCGCAAAGGAAACACACTTCACCATTACAAAGATCAACTGGTTAACGCTGTTTAAGGAAATAATACGACTAAAACGCTAATTAACCTTTGGAGCCGAAGCTCTATCAAATGAAACTTAAGATTTCAGTCCGTACCGCGAAGAAAACAC